TGACCTTTTAAAATAATCAACACTAGCTTAAGTCTTAACAATGCTTACAATAAAAAATTAAAAAAAATTTAGGAATAACACTGCTCTAAAACTTTTAAGTAAATTTTTTAAACATTCTTTAACGTTTAAAAATATTTTCAACAAATTTTGACAGGTAACAGTTGAAAAGTTTAATTAAACAAACCTTCTGTGCAACCAGAAGATTAAAGGGATTCAACTATCCCTTTAAAACCATCTCAAACAGCCTCAACTTACATCAGCAGCAGGTTTTTAAGTGACTGTACTTTTGGTTTCAGAGATTTGTGTCCAAGAGAAAGAAACACTCTCTGAATAAAATCAAAGGTGTTCTTGAGCTGTGGATGGTACTCCAAATTCAGCGCATATATCAGCCCAAAAAGTAGACACATGGCATCTGGAAGATTTTCAAGATCTTCCATCACGATGATTCCTTCCAAGATGATTGCAGTGTTCGAAGCCTCCAAATGCAGTGCTTGTGGGGAATCCTAGCTATCTTCTGGTATCACAGTCAGTATCCCGATGGAAATCTGGGGTGTGTCACATTCACAGTTCTAATTTTAAAAAAAAGCAATATTACAAGTCTTGTTACATTATAAATGGGAAATCTCACAAAAGTATATGTCACCTAAAGAATCAGTACCATCTCTTGGGCCATGTTCTACATACAACTAATCAAAACACATTTTAGAAATTTGACAAAATGAACAGTACAAGGGCTTGATTAAGAAAAGTGAAACAAAATCAGAATTTTAATTATCTGGTCCAAATTAAGGAGTTGACTAAAGCATAATTGAATGCCTATATGTGATGTTTGTGTGGGGGTTATAGTAAAGGTACTTACCAGTGCTGTTGTAAAAAAGTCAGAGGCTTCTTCTCCAAGAATGAGTGGAAGGCCACGAAGAACTGCTGTGCGCTTTGCAGTGATGTCAGTGCTCTGGAAAAAAAAAAGATACAATTACATTTTATAGTGTATGTATAACATACAATTAAATATGAAATTAGTTAATAAAACAGTAACATAATGTAGTTTAGAGAGATGAAAATGTGATGTTTATCTGCTTACCCCCAGGGCATCCAAGATGTAGGTGACTTTGTTTCTTCAGTAGAACACATATGATGATTTTTAACT